ACAGAGATCTGTCCACCTCTTAATCCTGAGTCCTAGGATTAAAGGTGTGTGCCACCACCTCCTAACTTCTGGCTGCTGAGACAGTCAATGTATCTCTTTGCCTTCAGGGAATATATGGAGGGGCCTCTAACAGGCCCTCGTGACAAATTTGGTTCAGTTGTTTCCTAACCATGAAGGAAACTCCTTCCTAGAGCAATTAAAGAACCTAATGCCTGTTATGAGACACCATATTGCTCTGTATAATAGGAAATTTATAAAAGAGAGAACAAAAATTCAGAAGAAACCATAAAGCAAATATTTTTGCAAACTTCTATAAAGGAAAAAAGAACAAAAGTAAAAATATGAATGGCACAGGTGCAGATTTCCCGATAATTGTACCAGCCTCTTGGAGTCCAAATTGGCTGCTTCAGGAGGTAAATGTTCAGCTCTTAAGGATTGTAACTTTATCTCAGATAAAACAGAGCACGACATGGATTGAATGTATAGGGCCAAAAGGAGACACAGGAAAATTAAAACTATATGTGGCTAATATAGCAATGAACTTATGGGGACATGGTTTGTCACAGCAATGGAATACTCAGATTAACATTGCTCCAATCTCAGAAACAAATCATAAATTAACATATGTTTCTGGAGAAAATATTAGAGAGGATTATAAATAACAGTCACCAACCATGCAATAATGCAGAAGCAATATTATCTTAGAATGGATCATTTTACCACATAAACATGGTAAAAAATTAAAAACTTATGTGGAAAGGATCTCTGATTTGATTCTAAAAGGAAAATTGAGACTTCATCAATTAGCAGGAATAGATGATGCAGAAGTTGTAGTAACTGCCAGGTGGTGGTGGCCACCCCTTTAATCCCAGCACTTGGGAGGCAGAAGTAGGTGGATCTTTGTAAGTTCAAGGCCAGCCTGGTCTACAGAGCAAGTGCCAGGATAGATTCCAAAGTTACACAGAGAAACCTTGTCTTGAAAAAAAAGAAAGAAAGAAAGGAAAAAGAAAGAAAGAGAAAGAGAAAGAAAGAAAAAGAAAATAAAAGGAATTGTAGTACCTTTCACTAATTGATAAATTATGGGCAGAAAGTGAACCCTGAAAAGACTTTGCCATAATTTTGGGGGGAGAGATTAGCAAATATGACAAAAGAAAGAGAATTCAAATAATAAGAACTAACTGGATGCTTCCTTGCACTGTACAGGTAACACCAACATCTGGAGTCCCTACATTCTATGCACATAAATCAGGAAAAGATTACTAATCAGGAAGTTTAAGCAAAGTGTCTCAATGACCTTGTAATTCTGTCCAAAAGTCAGAAATATACGCTATTCTTACGGTGTTAATAGATTTTACAGAACCTCTCAATATAGTTACTGATTCATAATGAGCAGAAAGAGTTGTTTTGCATATTGAAGCTGCTGAATTTATACCAGATAATACAGAATTGACTTCATTATTTATTCTGTTACAAGACATAATCAGTAATAGGAATCATCCCATATATATAACATACATCTGATCCCATAAGGCACTGCCAGGTCCTCTCAAACAAGGAATTGATGAAATTGATCAACTATTAATAGGAAATGTGCTGGAGAGCTCAGAATTTCATAAAAATATCATGTCAATAGGAAAGGTTTGAAAAAAAGAATTTACTTTGACTTTTGGGCTGAAAAAAAAAGGTTTTCAAACACTTGGCAACAAGCTAAGGAAATTATAAGGAATTGTCCTACTTGTTCTTTATACAACCAAACTCTACCACCTGCAGGAAGTAACCAAAAGGGTATTCAAAGGAATACAATCTGGCATATGGATGTGTTCCATTTTGCAGAATTTGGAAAATTAAAACATGCACACCACACCATTGATACTTATTCAGGATTTCAATGGGCAACAGCTTTGATTTCAGAAAAGGCTGACTCAGTTATGACACAGTTGTTAGAAGTTATGACCATCATGGGAATACCTATACAAATTAAGATACACAATACTGCAGAATATGCCTCTAGTAAGATGAAACAGTTTTTCCTTATTACAATATAAACCATATTAAAGGTATACCACACAATCCTACAGGTTAAAGCTTGCTTGTTAAATTAAAACTCAAAACTTGCCGGGCGGTGGTGGCACACGCCTTTAATCCCAGCACTTGGGAGGCAGAGGCAGGAGGATCTGTGTTAGTTCAAGAAACCCTGTCTCGTAAAAACAAAAAAACAAAAAACAAAAAAACCCTAAAAACTTCTGTTTCATGTCAAAACAGCCACCTGATATGCAACAGAAGAAAATAAAACTAAAGGACTATTTTATTACCAATTAGTATTATTTATTATTATTAATGTAAGTAGCAATGATAGCAAAGCAGTAATAAAATGCCCCCTTAAGACAACTCCATGGCCAGATTGACAGGACTCTATCAAAACTTCAAAGAACTAACATCTAATCTCCCTAAAATACTTGATTCAAAATTTAACACTTCCTGATTCTTGGTATTACCTGATATTAAACCAGGTACTGATACAACCAACAGGCAATTACAGAACATTTAAAAAACTATTATTAGCTATTTCACATAACACATGCAGTGTGTTTCTCTGCATTTTGTGTGCCTCAAACACTGCCCACTCTCACCTCCTACCACTCTAAAATCCTGGTCCTCAATTCCAACCAATTTCTCTATTGTGTTCATCTCTATTAATTTTGCTTGGGACCCAATGAGATTGTCCAGGGCTATCTGTGAGACTGTGGGTTAAGAGCTCTCTTTTGTAGCCTGAAATCCATCCTACAATCCATCCATGGACAACATTTGAGAGGTTAAGGGTGGGGCCCTGTGAGCCTTTCCCTTTCCTAGATTGACTGTGTCTAGTGTGAGGTCAGTGCAGGTCAGTACCGTTGCTGTTGGTTACTGATCACAACAGCTGTGTGGAGTCTAGAGAGTGGCATGTCTTAGTCCATCCTGATCTTTCTCTTCTTACTCCCTTTCCTTGTCCTACTACTTTTCCTCAGTGTTCCCACAGTCACTGACTTTTTTTAGGACTGGGTCCACATTCCTTCTAAAGGTCTGCTTTCACCATTGCATTAAAAAAAAAAAAAACTCTTACACTGACCAGAATGGCTAAAATCAAAAACACCAATGGACAGTCTATGCTGGAGAGGATGTGAAGAAAGGGGAACACTGCAAAATTGTGCAACCACCTTGGAAATCAGGATGGCGGTTTCTCAGGAAAATGGGAATCAGTCTACCTCAAGATCCGGCAATTCCACTTTTGGGCATATACCCAAAGGATGCACATTCACACAACATGGATATATGTTCAACTATGCAGCAGCATTGTTTGCAATATCCAGAACCTGGAAGCAACCTAGATACCCCTCAACTGAAGAATGAATGGAAAAAATGTGGTACATTTACACAATGGAGTATTACTCGTTGAAAAAAAATGAAATCTTGAAGAAACCATCCTGAGTGAGGTAACCCAGTCACAAAAAGACAAGTATGGTATATACTCCTCATGTATGGATTTTAGACATAGAGCAAAGGACTACCAACCTACAATCCACACCACCAGTGAAACTAGGAAACAAGGAGGACCCTAAGAGAGACATACATGGACCCCTGAAGAAGGGGAAAGGGACAAGAACTCCTGAAAAAAATTGGGAGCACGGGTGGGGAGGCTCATGGGACAGGGGAGGTAGGAAAAAGGGAAGGGGAGAAGATGAGGGGGAGGAGAACAAGAGAGATCAGGAAGACTGAGACAGCAGAGGAATAGAAAATAACAAGAAAATAGCCACCTTAACAGAGGGAGCCAGTATAGGTTTAAAGAGAAATCTGGCACAAGGGAAATGTTCAGATATCCACAGGGATGACCCCAACTAAGAATCTAGACAGTCGTGGAGACGCCGCCTGTGATGCCTTTCCTCTATAATGAGATTGATGACTACCTTAATTGTCATCCTAGAGCTTTGACCGGTAGCCAATGGAAGCAGAAACAGGCACCCACAGCTAAGTACTGAGCCGAACTCCTGGAATCCAGATATATAGAGAGAGGAGTGATGAGCAAAGGAGCCAAGACCGTGTAAGGGATACCCACAGAAACAGCTGACCTGACCTAGTGAGAGCACAGAGACTACAGCTGTAAAGCTGGAGAACCAGCATTGGACCCAACCAAGCCCTCTGAATGTAGGTGCCAGTTAGGAGGCCTGGGCCAGTCTATGGGACTTCAAACAGTGGTGTCAGTGTTTGTCCCTAGTGCACAAATGGACTTTGGGAGCCCATTCCCTATGGAGGGATACTATTGAAGCCCAGATACACGGAGGAGGCCAGCCCCCCAATGATGTGACAGACTTTGATGATCCCCCATGAAAGGCCTCACTATCCTTGGGCAGTGGATGGAGGGTGGGTTGGTGGGGGGTCGGTGGAGGGCATAAGAGGATGGGAGGGAGAGAGAACGGGGGATTGTTATGTAAAATAAGATTGCTTCTAAATAAAAAAATCTCTATCTAAAAAGCATCTTTAACATGAGTCACACAGGACTTAACTTGTTTCTGAGTTAGTTAAACGACAATACCGCCATCTAGTGGTGAAATCAGTACAGTGAGGGATGAGCTAAACCCTGGGCAAGTTCATGAAAAGTCTCTCCCCAAGGCACAATTAATTGTATTACTTGGTTTTGGTTTGTGATGTTTCTGTCGGGGATGGTACTCTCGCTTCGGAATTTAGCCTGTTATCCTTTGCTGTAAGTGTGTATCCGGGGAGTCTGGTAGTCAAGCAGGTTAGGCTGCCTGTGTTTTCTCTGAAGGTTTCAGAACTCACTGTGGGGTCAGACCCCGGGGTGCAGCGTCCTCCCGGATGCAGCTCTGGTCTAGGCTGCAGCAAGCATGTGTGGAGTCTGTGCAGAGCGGGTCCAGGGCAGCCTGACAGCTGCAGCCAGGCGGGGGAGACCGAGTGGGAGGGGCGGGGCCGTGGGGGCGGGGACACGAAACCGGAAGCAGAGTTGGGAAGAATGTGACACCCGAGCTCAGTGTTGCTAGGGTGCAGAGTGAGGGAGTTGGAGAGGCGAAGTGAGGGAAAGACGAGAACTGTGTGCGAGAGGTCAGGGAAGTTGCACCGTGGAGCCAAAATCAGAAGTGACAAGTGTCCGTTCCCTGCCGTTGCCCCGGGTCCCGCACGGTGGGAGCCGCGCGCTGCAGACCCGGGTGCGGGGGACACGGCGGACGCCGCGGGGACCTGGAGACTCCGGAGCCGCAGTGTCCGCGCGGGGCGGGCGGCCTGGGAAAGTCAGCGTCAGCAGCAGCGCAGTGGCGGGAACCGCAGCCCGGCGGCCCTGGAACCTCCCAGGTCAGAGGAGCCGCGGGGCTGGAACCCGGGAGGGAGGGGACGGGGTGCGAGCGTTTTCTCTGCTCTTCATCGGGAAGCCGGCTCCCAAATTCTGCTGTGGGTGTCTTCCCTTGGTGTGTTTTAGATCCTATGGAATAGGCCTGGCTTTTAAAATTGATCTTCTGATTGTGAAAAAATTGATATAAAAATAGTCTAGTAGAATATTTGAAGTCATTTCTTGATATTTGCAAACACAGTTCTTTCTGCTGTGGTGGAAACGACAATGCTCATCCATGCTAACTTCCGTGTTATACTTGGGGACTAACATCTCGGGAGAGTTTGTAGATATTAGTCATGAAAGTAATGGCTGCAGATTTAACTGAGTATGAAAATGTCTGTTTGTGAGTTTTATTTGTATGGTTGGTAACATTAACGTTTAAAAGCAAACTTTTTACCTATCGGTAATTTTTCATCTGAGACATACCCACTCTGTTAGATAAACACAGCATTCTGAAAAGTGTCTTAGCCATTGCACAGGTTTTCAATGCTAGCACTCAGGAAGCAGAGGCTGGTGGATCTCTGTGAGTTTGAGACCAGCCTAGTGTATGTACCTCGAAGTCGGGAGGGAGCGGTGTAATGTTTGAGGGTGTCAGGTCACAATATATTCATAGTGGTGTTGGCACATGCCTTTAATCCCAGCACCCTGGAGGCAGAGGCCCATAGATCTCTGAGTTTGGTACAAGCCTCGTCTACAGAGTGACTTTCAGGACAGCCAGGACTAATGACAGACCAGCCTGACTCCATCTTAAGGAAGGAAGCCATTTTGTTATGAGGTCAGAGGTTTATTTCTGTTTTCTGCCAAATTCAAGTTGACTGTGCTTTTAGCCTGTTTCTGGAATTTGACATGCTCCCTACCCTATGGAGTCTGACTCTCAGCTGGAACATACCTTGATATGATAAGATGTTCTGCCAGATAATTATAAATGTTCAGCCAAGTTCCTACTTAACAAAAGTTCGTCTGGAAATCCAGCAGCCCTTGAAAACCACCCCAGCCTTGCAGTTTGGGGGTATATAAGCCCCGCTTTATCCTTTATCAATGCTGCATTTTCAAAGCCTGCTTTGGGAAGATAACCGTGCCTTACAGGAAATAAAGCTCGCTTAATTTGATCAAAGAATTTGGGTAATGGCCGTTATTCTTGCTCGATGGGATTACACTACATAGAGGAAACCTGTCTCAAAAAGGAATTAAGGTATAGGATGATACTACAAAGCATCTTCTCAATAATTATGATCACTTATTTACATTTGAAAAATATCTGCATTAGTCTTTTGTCTCCTCAGTTCAAGGAAAGCACTCTGTCCATGACACTTGACCAAACTGCTATTTATTTATTTATTTATTTATTTATTTATTTATTTATTTATTTATTTTGGGTGCTGGGGTTTGCTGAGTTTGAGAGCTGAACTCACAATATTGCTCTGGCCCAAACTCACCTTGTAGACCAGGCTGGACTGGAAAACACTGTTCCACATACCTCTTTCTCCCAAGTGCTAGGATTCAAGGTGTGTACCAACAGTAAGATGTAAACTGTTGTTTTTTACTTTGTGGTCTGTTGACAGCCAGTGGTGTGACTGTGGCCTTCTCCCTGGAGTAGGGCCAATGCCTGGAGCCTGCCCGGAGGGCTTCGTACAGACACTGGATGTTGCAGAGTCGCAGCAGTCTGGTTTGTGTGGGTGAAACGAGATTTCTTGCTGTCTCCCAGCTCTACCTCGTGGTTCCTAGAGAAAACTTGTGTGTGACCTCTGTGTGAAGAGTCTCACATCTCAAAGAGTAAAGTAAAATCATCAGAGGACCAAAATAAAGCAGTGTCATTTCCCCTTGTGTATGTTCCTTTAGGAGCTGTGAGGCTTCCGCCGCTTTTGGTCCATCACCAGTGTAAAATATTCCCATCGCAACCATGCAGTTCCATTTCTCCCTGAGATTGACTGAGTTATGAATGAAAGGGGGTTCCAGTTACAATGACTGAAAATGCTCTCTGAATGATATCAGTATTCTGACACTGCAGGACAGTTGCCAAATCACTTGTGACTCCTCAGTTTATCTACAGGGCACCGTAGTGTGTTGGAAGTATGGGTGCTTTCTGGAGAATCTTTCTTGTGTGCAGGGCTCACTGGTCAACCAGTACTCTCCTTACCTGTCAAGCAGAGCAAACAACCCTGGATGGTGAAGAGGGAGGAGGTCATGGCTAGGGATGCAGGTGTGGTGGAGGGTTTGGTGAAGGAGTGGAAAGGAGATCAAATGTGTGTGAAAGTGGGATGTGAAATGAGTTTTGCCATGAATGTTTTGCTGCATGTATGACTGTATATCGTGTGCATTCTAGAATTGTACATAGGGACAGATTGGAGCCACTTTCTGGGGTGTGGAAAGGAACCTGAGTCTCTAAAACAGTTACAGACACGAATACCATCTCTCTAGCCCCTATTAAGTTTTGTGTATAGGAGTAGCAATAATAGAAAATTGTATAAGGCTCCTATAAACATTTTTATGTAGATGCTCTAAAATCTTTACATAGGCATTTATTATCTCTTAGTAACTTTTTCTTCCATTGGTGTTAAAATACAACCTACTCAGTCTGTTTTCACGGATGAACATTTGGTATTGGATAATCATCTAGTGCACTCTTCTCTGGGGAAGACCCTTTCTCTAGCTCTCAGAATTCCTTAGTGTTTGACCATGGTTGAGGCCTAGTGAGCTTTCTCCCTTCCATGTTATCGTGTCTCTGGATGCTATCCTTGTTCAGCTCATGGTGAAGCAGCCATATTTGTAAGATTTCATGCACGTAGCTTCTCTGACATTTCTAGGAGACACAATCTCAGCAAGCATCCTGTTCCTCTGCCTCCTACAATGTTCCCTCCCCTCTTTCTAGTGACCAGTGAGCCTGAGGTGAAGGAGTTGTGATATTTGTGTGTCAGTGGGGACTGAGCATCACAAGTCTGCATTTTGACTGATTGCGCTTCTCTGTGATAATCTCCATGTGTTGCTAAAATAACTTTCCCTGATAAAGGGTGAGGACTACATTCATCTGTGAGAATAAGGGTAAATATTTAGAATGTAGTTAGGGAAAGGCTAATTTAGTAAAGTAGTAGTTATAGATCCCCTTCCAATATCCTTGACTTAGGGAAACTGGCCAGGTTTCCTGTACCAAGCACGATTCCCCTCTTGTTGAGAGGGTCTTAATCCCATTAGAAGCTGTTGGTCACCACCAAGGAATGTGTTTGACTCTGGCACCGTTAGGGTTATTGTGCAGTACAAATTGCTGTGGTTCTCAGGTGTCATACCTGGGTAGGACTGTTGGCTGGCTCCCTCCTTTGGAAGCTTAAATGCTGCTTTACGGTACCATGAAAGTGAATCTCCAGGGAGGAGGCTTTAAGGTCAGTTGCATCTCGAGTCCTCTAGGATTTGTGCCTGAGGTGTGTGGCTTCTTCAGCACTAGGGACTCAACTTCTGCCTATGGGAGACAAGCATGGGCAACAGCAATACCCTGTAATGTTTGGAAGTCTCTTGGACAACTGTGACCAACAACTTCAAAGCAGGCTTCTTACGCCCGGTGTTGGTTGTTTTGTTACAAAATCAATGGCTCTAGTGAGGAGCATCTTCGGCTGAGAGATGGAAATTATATCATGTATACTCTAACTGTATATGCTTAAAGAGGCATATATGTATTGTAGGCATTTTTGGTAGATGATAATAGTAAGATTCCTTATGCCTTTTTCAGGCATTCTTACTGTTATTTTATTCTCCTGTATTTGTTATCTGTCCTTCTCCATAATTAAATCATCACCCTGGTTTTCCATTTCCCCTTCAGATCATTGGTTCCCTTTTACTCCTGTCGCTTTTACTCCCCCACACTCCACAGTACTCTCTTTTTTACTTTTTTGGTTACTGAAGTCACTCCAGGTTATATACTCACATCTGAAGATTTGGAGCTAGGAACTTCCTATGAGAGAGATCATACATTGTCTGTCTTTCTGAGGCTGGGTTACCTCAATATGATCTTTTCCAAGTCCATCTGTTTACCTGCAAAGCTCATGATCTCAGTTTTCTTTATAGCTGAATAGTATTCCATAGTGTATATGAACCACATTTTCACTATCCATTTGTCAGCTGAAAGACATTTAGGTTGTTTTTATTTTGTAGCTATTGAGAGTAGAGAAACAGTGAACATGACTGAGCAGTATCTGTGGAGTAGAAGGTCGAGTCCAGCCAAGGAGTGAAACAGCTGGGTCATGTGCTGGATTTAAGTTGAGGGATTTTTGTTTGTTTGTTTCTTTGTTTAATAGAGGATTCTCCATATTTATTTCCAGAGTGGCCAGGATTTTGTTGAAAAAATTTGTGTACCCTATGGCTTTGTTTTTGCTGTTGTTGCTAGCTTGATTATTAAGAATATTCTTCTTTCTCTATAAATAATAGTGACTTGCTGTCTTCCCCATGAGTACTTCCCAGTTCTCCTGTATTCAGCTGTTCTTCACATGAAACTTATTACTTCTATGTTCTAATAGATAAGTCCTCTTATTCATGTGTGTATATTTTTCCTCAAAATTACTATGTGCTGCACATCTTTAGTGAAATCAATTGTTTTAATTCAGGATTATCTTGAAATTCATTTATGTCTCCATCAATTTTAAGAGAGTATGTAAAAATATGGTTGATGGTGATTTTCTTTCTAGGTTTTAAAATGTATTTATATGTTCTCTGGGCATTGGGATCACTAACCAGATACCTGGTGTACTCTGTTGCCTGGGTCTTCATGTGGTTTGACATTGTTCTTTAACAGTTTTCAGTATTAATTATCCCTTTTTTCTTTTGTACATCTTTACATGAAAGGGCAGCAAGCCATCCATCCATTGTTCCTGAAAGAGAAATTCAAAGGAGGGAAAGAGAAAGAAATGGCTGATTCTACAGTAAGCATGTGCCAGGTCAGTGGTCATATCTACTATTATTATACAAATGTTATATTTTGAGACATTTAATTTTCTGCTTCTGCTTTTTTTGTAAACTTTGTTATAAAAAAAAGTTGCAAACAAACAACAAAAAATTCACATACTGAAATTAGCCAGACCCAAAGACTATACAACTCAATGTACTTTTATACAGTTAGTTATCAGAAACGGAAGCTTTGGAACCTCACATGGGATTTTATATCTTCATTATCAAATATATTTTGTTGTAATTATCACCCAAAACCAAAAAAAAAGGAAAAAAACTGTGACAGAATTAGAACTAGAGAAGCAATTAGCTTTATATCCTTTTTCATAACTGGTGTTCATTACCTGCATTCAGTTCTGACTCAGTCCCTAGTATTTAACCATTTTTGTTCTTTTTTCTCATGTTCTACTGTGCTCACATGTACACTGTTTCATTTGTCTTATGAGGGAAAAACGTGTTTTTGTTCTTTTTGGCACTGTATGACCTCGTTGCATACTCTAAATCCAACCATTTTCCTGAAAATTTGTATTACATTTTTCTCTTCATCTTAATATTATTCTGTTTTATATGTAGATCAGTTTCATTATCATCTGTTAATAGATAATTTGATTGATTACAATACTTTGTTATGGTGACTAAAGCATATGCCCAGGTGTGAAAGAGCTGTTCATGTGTCTGTTCATACACAGCTTCATTTATTTTCATTAATTTCCAAACTGATTCCCATGATGACTGTATTATTTTGCAACACACACACACACACTCACACTCACACACACCTACAATGAATAAGGGTATCTTTATCTCCTCATCTTCTCTAACATTTTTTTGTCAGATTGGTTGATGCCACTCTGCCTGGGGTGAGGAAGTGTTTCAGTGTAGTTTTAGTTTGCATTTCCATGATGGTATTTTAAGGATTCTGAACACTTTTAGCAGTATTTACTGGCCATTTGTGTTTCTGTTTTTGCAAAGTGTCTATTCATGTCATTTGCCCATTTACTGATTATCAATTTTATTCCCATGGTTTGTTTTTAAAGATTTTATTTATTATGAATACAACATCCTGCCTCCATGTATGCCTGCAGGCCAGAAGAGGGTACCAGATCTGGTTGTAGATGGTTGTGAGCCCCCATGTGGTTGCTGGGAATTGAACTCAGGACCTCTGGAAGAACAGTCAATGCTCTTAACCTCTGAGACATCTCTCCAGCCCGATTCCCATGGTTTTTAATGTTTGAAATTTGTTTATAAATTCTAGGTATAAGCACCTATCCAGGAAATCACTTTACCTTGGATCACATGATCAAAATGTAATTTTTCATTTCAGGGTCTATTGACTTTCTGGGATTTGTCTGTGGACTTCTCCCAGGAGGAGTGGGAATGCCTGGACTCTGTTCAGAGGGCTTTGTACATTGATGTGATGTTGGAGAATTACAGCAACCTGCTCTATGTGGGTGAGAACATTTTGATTGTAGAATTGCTAATTCATCCTTTGTTTGTACCAACTTTATAGGTTATAGCCTCTCTGTTGAGCTGTCTTGGAAACTGCAGGAGACTAGGGAAATATTAGGAATAGAAAAGAACTTTTTGATGGTGTTCATTATTTTCATTTCATTTTCTATTTTATAGGTGTCGTGCTCCCTTCATTTTGGTTGCAAGATGCATAATATTTCTATTATTATCTGTTTCATTTTTCCCTTTTATTGTTATAGACTCTTTCCTTATACAGTGTCTCAGTTAGGGTTTCTATTGCTATTAAGAGACACCATGACCATGGGAACTCTTAGAAAGGAAAACATTTAATTGAGTTGGCAGCATATATTTTTCAGAGGTTTTGTCCATTATCATCATGGCCAGGGACCATGTAAGCTGTGAATATGGTGAGATGTAGGCAAGTATGATATTGGAGAGGTAGCTGACAATTCTACATCTTGTGCATGCTACTCCAGTCTCTGTGAGTTCACTTTCACTTGGATTTTGAAAGTCTTGTTCTGTTGGTGTTCTCCATCCCTCTGGTTCTTACATTCTTTTCCCCTCTTCTACATAGTTTCCTGAGTTCTGAGGGGAGGGATTTGATGGAAATGTCCCATGTAGATTCTCTTTCCACCTACTATCTGGCCGTTGCTCCCTGCAGCTGGAGAAAATGTCTTTGATGATGACTGCATAAGGCAGCTATCTTCACTGCAGCAGAATATCATTAAGATTTATTTTATTGATTATTTTTTAGGTCAGTAGCATTTGGTATTACACTAAGTCTCTAGACTGTCTAGTCTCTGTCTTTGGTTATGCAAGATCTGTCTAGTATGTGTTCTGTCTTGTGGATTGGGCCTTAAGTCAAATGAAACGTTTGTTGGCTATTCCCACAATTTCTGTACCCATATTACTCTAGTATACCTTTTAGCATGACAGATTACAATCTCTGGAATGTGGAGAGAAGAGAGTAGTCACACATTTTATAGCGGATTCCAGCTAAATCTTAAAGCTCCATGTCCATCATTGAATTTCATATTGTCTTAATTCTGAAAAATACTTAAGATTTACAACATAAAATTCTACCTTTATATACCAAAGATTCTGATAGGATATATCAATTCCTAGATTCCTCTTCATGTTCTGAGCCCAGTACTGTGCTAAACTTCTGTATTCATCTTGAAAATGATGCCATGGGTCATGAGCTACCTCACAGTACATTACTGTTTGCATGGTCAGTCTGGTCACCTGTACAGAGCAAATGAGATTGCTCTGGAATGTGGAGAGGAGAGAATAGCCAAAACCAGGGTGGGCTAGTGAATGAGCGAAAAGCAGTGATGGCTTCAAGTAAAAGAGAAAGCAAGAGCTGAGAATGTTTTTGCTATATTCAATTCCACTTGAAAGGGTTCCTGACAATTGAACTTAGCATAGTGTCCTGGCCCTAGGATGCATCCTGTCTGTTGGAACTAGTAGAACACATTGTACCTTATTTTACCTGAGTTATGGTGACTTAATCCTGGTAGAAAATGTTATTTTCTTTGAATGTTCTGACATCAAATTGGAATAATCTTACAAATTCTAAGACTAATATGAGTCAATGAAGTAGGAGTATTCTGTAATTGCTTTCCTTGTATTGTATCTTCGTATTACACCCTTCATTTTCTTCCCAGTGGAGAATACACAGTCACCCTTCTGGGATAGTTCCAGGAGTCAGTGTACAGAGTGGACTTGAGAAATAACCTTATGAGGAAAGTTAAGAGACACAGCAGTGTGTGGAGCTCAGACAGTGGAGGAGAGAAATGGGCAATCGCTGCCCATGACAGCTCTGCCTCAAATGATCTAGAGCCTCTCTGGTGTCTACCAGGATGCTGTCTTTGCTGCCACTACTTTTGGAGAATCTAATGTGTTCGTCTTGAGAGAAAAACAAACCCCATGATGCTTTTAGTAAGACTTTAATGTTCAGAGGAATTCTGAACTATAGTCTGGGTTGCTGCTCATTAGTAGGTACAAATACTGTGAACCTTGGATTGGATTAAATTCTTTTTTATCAATACCTGTGGAAATAAATATTCATAAAGAGATGCATATTCCAAATATAATAAGCCAGTAAATTCCATCCAAGGAACTAATTACTGACTCTTCAAATATTTGATTAATCTTCCATGAAGGGTGCCACTCTGTTTTTATAAGAATCCACATAATTATAGTAAAAGAATATGATGACTTCTGGGAGCTCTAATTGAAATAGTTGTAGGTTAACAGAAAACTTAAAGAGAAATTCATTTATCAATTGTTGAACCTTGGAACAAGCCCTAATAATTTGAACTGTATCATTTTCTAGAAAACTGTTGCAAGTGTGATCCTGTCCAATACAATGTGAAGACTGAAAAGGAGTCTTGTCAGTGTGATGAGCTTGACAAAGTGCTTCATGACCCCTCCACATGTGCACTTCATAGAAAAAGTGAAACTACAGAAAACTCTAATGACTACACATGCAGTAGTCACAGGGATGCCTCTGTTGACTCATCAAACCCAGACAGACGTGAAAGCATATACACTGGAGAAGAACCTTGGCAATGTAAAGACTGTGAGAAATCTGTAAATCTGTGTTCCAACATGACTCAAGATCAGAGAGTCTACACTGCAAAGATAGAGCACAGGCAAAAAGAATATGATGACTCTTTCAGCTCTGGAAAGAGTCTTTTGCAACAACCAATCTACATTGCAGAGGCGCCACACCAGTGTGGGAAATGTGGGAAATGTTTCAGTACTGCCTCGAGCCTCACTGTACATCAGAGAATTCATACTGGAAAGAAACCCTACAAGTGCAGCGTTTGTGACAAATCCTTTAACCAGTGTGCAAATCTTAAAACACATCAAAGACTTCATACTGGGGAGAAACCTTTCATATGCAAAGAGTGTGGAAAATCATTTCGTCAGTTGTCAGCACTTAAAAACCACCAAAAAATGCATACTGGAGAGAAGCCTTACAAATGTCAGGAATGTGACAAATCCTTTACTGTAAAGTCAACTCTTACAAAACATGAGAGAATTCATACTGGAAAGAAACCCTACAAGTGCAATGTCTGTGACAAATCCTTTAGTCAGTGCTCAAGTCTTAAAACACATCAAAGACTTCATACAGGGGAGAAGCCTTACAAATGCAGAGAATGTGGAAAGTCATTTCCTCAGTTGTCAGCACTGAACAGCCATCAGAAAATGCACACAGACAAAAGGCATGCTGGAGAGAAGCTTTACAAGTGCAGTGAATGTGACAGATCCTGTAGACACTATTCATCCTTAAGAAGGCATCAGAAAATTCATTCTCTAGACAAACTATACAAATGCAAAGAATGTGGCAAGTCCTTTCTTGAATTATCACATCTTAAAACTCATTACAGAATCCACACAGGTGAAAAGCCCTACAAATGTGAGGTATGTGAAAAATCCTTTACTACAACCTCAACACTTAGAACACATCAGAAAATCCATACTGGAGAGAAGCCATACAAATGTATGCATTGTGACAAATCTTTTACCCAGGACTCACATCTTAGAAGACATCAAAGAGTTCATACTGGAGAGAGACCTTACAGTTGTAAGGAATGTGACAAATCTTTTTCTAAGTGCTCAACTCTTAGAGAACATCAGAAAATTCACACTGGAGAGAAAACTTACAAATGCCAAGACTGTGACATATCCTTTACACATTACTCAAATCTGAGAAAACATCAGAGAGTTCATACTGAAGTGAGACATTACTTCTGTAAGGAATGTGGCAAATCTTTCACTAGAAGCTCATATCTTAGAGTACATCAGAAAATTCATACTGGAGAGAAGCCTTACAAATGTAAAGACTGTAACAAATCCTTCATCCAGCGTTCAAACCTTAGAACACATTGCAGAGTTCATAGTGGAGAGAGACCTTGCGTGTGTAAGGAATGTGGGGAATCTTTTACTAAGTACTTAACTCTTCGAGCACATCAGAAAATTCATACTAGAAAGAAAAATGCCACTGTTAACAATGTGTTGTAGCAATTACTTGGTATTCTCTGCTTACATATCACAACAGTATAGAAATAGAAACATAAATAAGAAACTTGTGAAAATCTTTAATAAGGTTTTAATATTAGAAAAGTATCAGAATGTATATGAAAATAAAATTCTGCAAATGTAACTGTGTAAACATTTGACTGCAGGTATATCTTGCACTCCATGTATGCTTCCTGCCTGTGGAGGCCAAAAGAGGGTATCATATCCCTTGAAGCTGAAGTTATAGGCAATTGTGAGCTGCTATATGTGTTCTGGGAATTGAACCATCAGTATCTGGAAAAAGAATAAGTGCTCTCAACCAGTAAGCTATTCTCCAGTTATAATAGAAACATTTATCTTCTTCAACATCTAAAATTCATACTAATTCCAAGCATGGTCGTGCTCACCTTTAATCACAGGATTCCAGATACAGAGGCAGGAGGATCTCTGTGAATTTGATGCCAGGCTGATCTACATAGTAGACCAGGACAGACAGGACTATATAAACCTTGTCTCAAAAAAAAAAAGTCATAAGTAGGAGAAAATGACATGTCAGAAGTTGTGACAACGCCTTTGTTTTTCCTCTAATCTAGCTGCACATCCTAAATGCAAGCTTCTGACAAACCATATTAAAAGTAAACCATATAGAATCCCTAAGTCTTGTTATTCATTGGAAGTTTCCCAAGTATATTTAATTAGACAGACCCTTTGCCTAGTGCAGAAATAGCAAACATAGAGAAATTCATCATGAAAGAAACACACACACACATACAATGCTCCAAGAAATTCTCATGTTTTATTCACCTTCAAAATCTCCAAACTATATTTACACCATACAAATAGTGAGAGGGTGAGAAACTGTAAACAGTAGGGCTATGGTTGTGACAATACATACGTGCTCACATACAGTTTAGAAATCCCCAAGGTCAGGGCTGGAGGGGTGGCTAAGAGCATTGGTTGCTCTTCCATAGGACCCTGGATTGACTCACAGTAAATGGCAGCTCTCAACTGTCTGTAACACTAGTACTAGGGGATCTGATGCCGTCTGGATCCCAAAGACACTGCATCTACAAAATGTACAGACAAACATATATAAAATAAAATTAATTACTTAATAAAGAATTTCTAAGGTCAGAAGGCGTGATAGCACATGCCTTCAATCCTTGCTTTTAGAGGTAGATATAGGTTAATCTCTGGGAGATGGAGGCTAACTTCATCTATAGAGCAATTACCAAGACAACCAGGGTTAAAATGAGACACCCTATCTCAAAAAAAGAAATTCTCAAAGGCATGAAGAAATTACTTTTGAAGTATTGAGGGAAATGGAAAAGTATTTACTCTTAGTTAGGGTTTCTATTTCTGTGAAGGGACACCATGACCACCACAACTCTTAGAAAGGGAAACATTTAATTGGGGCTTGGCTTACAGTTTCAGAAGTTTAGTCCATTATCACCAGCATGCAGGCAGGCATGGTGCGGGAGAATGAGCTGGGAGTGGATAAAGAGCTATGTTTTTGACTTGTCGGTGGTCTGAATGACACAATGAACTAAGCTTGATCAAAACAGACCTCAAAGCCTACTCCCACAGTGACACTTCCTTTGGGGACCATTTTATTTCAAACTACCACATACTCCAAACACTAATGTACTTGCCCATAACTGGCAGTAGACATTCATTGAGGGAAAGGAGACTCTTGGGACCTTCCTTCAACCATAACGAAATTGTAATTGTGCTAGTCTTACACAGTTGCTTGTTCTCAGTATCATTTTTACTTTTAATTTTTTTTATTATTTTACATAAAACCGCTATTTCCCCTGCTTCCCATCTGTTTATTACCTCCCCTGCCCTCCTCTACACCCCCATCCACTCCTCACAAAGGGTTAGGCCTCTCACAGGGAGTCAACAAAGCCTGGCATGTCGAGTTGAAGCAGGACCAACCTCCTTCCTTCTGTATCAAGGCTTAGCAAGGCATCCTACCATAGGGAATGGATTCCAAACAGCCAGCTCATGCACCAGGGACAAATCCCAGTCCCACTGCTAGGGACCACACAACTGTCACACACATGCAGAACAACTGGGTTGGCCCCATGCAAGTTCCTTAGCTGTCAGTCTAGAGTTCATGAGCTCCCACAAGCTCAGTTCAACTGTCTGTGTGGGTTTTCGTTTCATGACCTTGACTCCCTCCCCTAGCTCATATAATCCCTCTCTTCCACTGAACCCCCAGAGCTTGGACACTGCTTGGCTGTGATTCTGCTTCCATCAGTTACTGGAATGAAGGGTCTATGATGACAATTAGGATAGTCACCAATCTCTTTACGGGAGAAGGCCTGTTTCCACTATTGCTAGAAGTCTTATCTGGGGTCATTCTTGTATTTTCCTGGGAGTTTCCCTGGTACCATGTTTCTCCCTCACCCCATAATGACCCCCTCTATTAATATATCTCTTTAATTCCTGTCCCTCCCCCTACTCAATCATCCTGTGTCTTCATGTTCTCATCCCCTATCACTTCCCCTCTATATCCCCCATCCTCAGTTTACCTAGGAGATATATTTACCCTTCCCAAGGCAATCCATACATCCCTGATTCAGTCCTTGTTAACTAGCTTCTCTAGGACTGTGGATTGTGTGCTGGTTATCCGTAGTTGTTTATCTAAAGTACACTTATGAGTGAGGACACACTGTATTCGTCTTTCTGGGTCTGTATTGCCTCAAAAAGGGGTTTTTTTTCTGTTTCTATCCATTTACCTGAAAATTTCATGATGTTGGTTTTTTTTGTTTGTTTTTTGTCTGTTTTGAGGGTTTTTTGCCACTAAGAAATACTCCATTGTGTAAATGTACTAAATTGTCTTTATCCATTCTTCAGTTGAGGGGTGGCTAGGTTGTTTCCAGGTTCTGGCTATTACAAATAATGCTGTTATGAACATGGTTGAGCAAGTGTCCTTGTGGTATGATTGAGCATCATTTGGGCATATGCCCAAGAGTGGTATTGCTGATTCTTGAGGTAGATTAAGTGCCAGTTTTATGAGAAACCACCACACTGATTTCCAAAGTGTCAGTAAAAGTTTGCACTTCCACCAGAAGTGGAGGAGTGTTCACCTGACTCCACATCCTCTCCAATGTAAGCTGTCTTCAGTATTTTTGGTCTTAGCCATTCTGGCTGATGAAAGATGGTATCTCAGAGTCATTTTAAGTTTGCATTACCCTGAACGATAAGAATGTTGAGCAATTCCTTAAAAGTCTATTGGTCATTTGAGATTCCTTTGTCGAGAATTCTTTGGGTAGATCTGTACCCCATTTTTAAATTGGATTATTCAGTGTTTTGATATATAGTTTCTTAAATATCAGCCCTCTATTAGATATGGGGTTGGGGAAGATCTTTTCCCATTCTATAGGCTGTTCTTTGCTATGTTCTTTGCTTTACAGAAGCTTCTCAGTTTCAGGAGTTCCCACTTGCTAATTGTTGCTCTCAGTGTCTGTGTTATTGGTGTTATATTCAGGAAGTGGACTCCTTTGCCAAGGCATTCAAAGCTACTTCCCACTTTCTCTTCTATCAGGTTCAGTGTACCTGGATTTATGATAAGTTCTTTGATCCACTTGGACTTCAGTTTTATGCTTGGTGATAAATATGGGTCTTGTTTGCATTCTGTATGTTGACATCCAATTATGCCAGCAACATTTGTTGAAGATGCTTTCCTTTTTCCATTGTACAATTATGGCTTCTTCATTAAAAATCATGTATTCATAGGTATATGGATTAATATCATGGTCTTCAATTCTATTCCATTGGTTCACCTGTATGTTTTCATGCCAATACCAACTTGTTTTCATTACTTCAGCTACATAGTAGAGCTTGAAGTCAGGGATGGTGATGTCTCCTTGAAGTTCCTTTAAGGTACAGGATTGCTTTAGCTGTCATGGGTTTTTTGTTTTCCCATATAATATTGAGTATTCTTCTTTCAAGGTCTGTGAAGAATTGTGCTGGCATTTTGATGGGGATTGCACTGAATCTGTACATTACTTTTGGAAGGATTCCCATTTTTATTATGTTGATCCTACCTATCCAAGAGCATGGGAGATCTTTCCATTTTCTGATATCTTCTTTAATTTCTTTCTTTAAAGACTTAAGTTTCTTGTTATACATGTTTTTTACTTGATGGTTAGAGTTACCCCAAGACATATTATGTTGTTTGTGGCTATTGTGAAGGGTGATGATTCTCTGATCTCTTTCTCAGCCCTATTATCATCTGTATATAGGAATGCTACTGATATTTTTGAGTTAATCTTGTATCCTGCCACTTGACTGAAGGTGTTCCCTGTTAGAAATTTTCAGGTCACTTATGTAAACTATCATATCATCTTCAAATAGTGAAAGTTTGACCTCTTCCTTCCAGTTTGTATCCCCTTGATCTCTTTTTGTTGTCATATGGCTCTATCTAGAACTTCAAGTACAATATTGAAACGGTATGGAGAGAGTGGACAGCCTTGTCTTGTTCCTGATTTTAGCGGAATCGTGTTGAGTTTCTGTCCATTTAGTTTGACGTTGGCTGTTGGTGTGCTATATATAGCTTTTAATATGTGTAGATATGTTCCTGTTATCCCAGATCTCTCCAACATCTTTATCATGAAGGGGTGTTGAATTTTGTCAAAGGCTTTTTCAGCATCTAGTGAGATGATCATGTGACTTTTGTTTTTCAGCTTGTTTATATGGTGGATTACATTGTTGAACCACCCCTGCATCTCTGGGCTGAAATCTACTTGATAGTGGTGAATGATGGTTTTAACGTGTTCTTTGATCCGATTTGCCAGTATTTTTTTGAGTATTTTTGCATCAATGTTCATGAGGGATATTGGTCTGAAGTTCTCTTTCTTAGTTGTGTCTTTGTGTGGCTTGGGGATCAAGGTTATTGAAGCCTCATAGAAAGAGTTTGGCAAAGACCCTTCTGCTTCTATTGCATGGAATAATTTGAGAAGAATTGGTATAAGCTGCTCTTTGAATTTCTGGTAGGATTCTGCACTGAGGCAATCTGGACCTGGGCTTTTTTTGGTTGGGAGACTTTTGATGACTGCTTCTATTTCCATAGGGGATATAGGTCTGCTTAAATTGTTTATCTGTTCTTGATTTAATTTTCGTAAGTGATAGCTATGGAGAAAATTGTCCATTTCCTTTAAATTTTCGAATTTTGTGGAGTACAGATTTTCCAAGTATGACCTGTTGATTCTCTGAATTTCCTCAGAGTCCATTGTTATGTCCCCCTTTTCATTTCTGATTTTGTTAATTTGCATGTTCATGCTCTGCTGTTTGGTAAGTTTGGAAAAAGGTTTGTGTATCTTGTTGATTTTCTCAAAGAACCAACTCTTCGTTGCATTGATTCTTTGTATTGTTTTCCTAGGTTCTATTTTATTGATTTCAGCCCTCAGTTTGATTATTTCCTGGCATCTACTCCTCCTGGGGGAGTTTACTTCTTTGTGTTCTAGAGCTTTCAGCTGTGCTGTTAATTGTCTAGTGTAACTATTCTCCAGTTTCTTCATGTGGGCACTTAGTGCTATGCACTTTCCTCTGAGCACTGCTTTCAAAGTGTTCCATAGGTTTGGGTATGTTGTGTCTTCATTCTCATTGAATTCTAGAAAGTCTTTAATTTCTTTTTTTATTTCTTCTTTGACCCAGGAATGGTGCAATTGTGCATTATGCAATTTCCATGAGTTTGTACGGTTTCTGCAATTTGGGTTGTTGTTGAATTCTAATTTTAACGCATGGTGGTCTGATAAGATGCATGGAATTATTCCAATTTTTTGTAGCTGCTGAGGTTTGATATGTTGCCAAGTTTGTGGTCGATTTTTGAGAAGGTTCCATGTAGTGGTGAGAAGAAGGTATATTATTTTTTATGTGGATGGAATGTTCTATAGATGTCTGTTAATCCCAATTGGGTCATAACTTCTATTAAAAACTTTGCTTCTTTGTTAAGTTTCTGTCTGGTATTCCTGTCTAGTGGTGAGAATGGGGTGTTGAAGTCTCCCACTATAAGTGTGTGGGGCTTTATATGTGATTTGAGTTTTAGTAATGTTTCTTTTACAAATGTGGATGCCTTTGTGTTTGGGGCATAGATGTTCAGGATAGACACTTCATCTTGGTGGATT